CTAAATTTCTAAAATAGTTTCCATCATTTTTCATCATTTTACTTTATCTATTTTTATTCACCATGTTGGATATTTAAGTTTGCAAAAATGGTGGCTGAAAATGGGAAAGAAGAAGAAAAAAATAATTAAAAAATCGACTAAATAGGTTTTTCACGCGCGTTCAACAAGTGTATTACACTCACTATGCCATGTAAGCAAAAAGTGTCAAAATGACACAGCGAAACCCTACATGAGGTGTCTAAAATGAACATCATCCACTTGAGGTGCCTAAGTGAAATTTCGTGCCAAATTTAAGGGGCTACCGATGGGTTAGGCCTTTTTAATAAATATAATTTATACCCTCACAAGAAGTCAATTGAATCTTGTCGCAGCAAATTACAAGTTGAGTACATAACAATGATGCAATGTGATAGTACAGAATGAGTGCATCAAGCAACGTTTCGTAAAGTAGACAACACACATGATTTTATTACCCTGAACCGAATAGTTATCATTTTCATCAACAACCATATTTTCATCATTGTAAACATTAAAAATGATCCAGAATTTGAATTCTTTAAAGCTCCCAAAATAATGAAATTTGGCCCAAATACTAATTTTTTCCGGTATTTGGAAATTTGGATTATTTGCCAAAAATATTTATCAAATAATGGCAAATTGTACAACAAACACTATTTGCCAAATTTTCCACCAATTTTTTTTTACTTGAAAAATCTATAGCCAAACAGGTCCTGAAATGTAACAATTAAATAGTACTCTATTTCAAACTTATATATTTACACAGATCCCAGCATCAAAACTTGAAATGGCGTAGTTTCGTAAATCTGCAAGCAGAAGTATTTAGCATGACTTGATATGATTAAAGCAATAATTAACCACTATGTATCTGATATAATGGCTAGTTTTAATTTTTTTTTAATTTCATAGAGAAGAATTAAGCCCTGATTTCATAATCAACACCTCATGGAGAGATTTATGCACATGTCAGATCACAAGCATTCATCATAATGTATCAGACAGGGATAACTGTGAATTGCTTATCTCATCATCCATAACTTAAAAAGGACTTTGAAAAAGGTCATGGATATACTAGACAAAGTCATGTTAGATGTCTCTTAAAAGGGGAAAAGGTCAAAAGGAAGCATGAGCAAGTCATGAAACTAGTTGGATGAAAACAAACATACAACTGGAGAAGAAGCATCAGATCTTCCTATTCAGATGAGGATCATAATACTCAAAAATTGAATTATGAGTATTCATCTCCGAAAAACACATCATCTGCCTCTCCGAAATCAAATAATGGCAAAAAATAAAAACAAATACGCAGTAAGCCTCAGACCGTCCTAGTCAATGCCATAATCAACATTGAAACTAGTCATAAAACTAGCATCTCCGTGGCTATATAGATGTCATCATAGGCAATAATTTCTTCACAAAATGTAAAAACAAAAAAGAAAAAGAAAAAGGAAGTATGGGCATGGGTCAGAAATGAAAGGAAAACTTTCAGCACTGAATAAATCAGACAGGGATAACTGTATAATTCCTTTGATCATCATACCCAAATCTAATAGTAAACCATTTACAAACGTGAATGGAGGCGGATGGATTATGATTTAGGGTTGGCCGGTGAAGCAGGCAGTGGGAGATAGATTCAATGAAAGCGCAGAACAATGTATATATAGTGAAAGAGAGAGAGAGAGAGAGAGAAAACGAGGCTGCCGCCTTAGGGTTAGGGTTAAGGCTCTACATCCACTTTGGATTATCAACCTCAATTGGGCTCAACCCATTTATTTCACTCTTTCTTATCATAGTTAAGTTATGGGCTTTTACCATCGAATCTTTTTGAGTATTGAAAATGCTCTTTTTCAATAAGATAACTTGGTAACTGATTGCTTTTTTTCAAAACGCCCCTCATTTGTATTGCTCGCAACAATCCAATAAGTTATACGGTATGAAAAAACATTTGAAACCAATTATTTCTATATCATGTTATGAATATATATTAGAAAGATTATTAACTCGTCACCAATTATAGAGAATTACATTTTTTTTTAAAGAAAGAAATAATAAGTAACACAATTTAAAAAGCAATTTGAATGTAAAAGATACATAAAGTGTAGCTTAATTGGAGAATTGTGCAAACCTTCATTGGAATAATAGAGTTTTTAACCTCGTTGTATCCCCCACCCACCAAAAAAAAAAAGAGTAAATGTAAAAGTGATAAGTTAAGTAATTGGATTTTGTTTTAACAACTTAGGAGATAATAATTCTATTTTGAGTAAGTGTGGAGTTATATGACTCTCACAAACTTTAAGTTGTAAATGTCAAAACTAGAAGATTATTATGTATCATCCGATAAGGTTATGGTTAGATGGGGGATTTACATAAGAATTTGAGGGTTTTGTAGCATTTGTCCGAACAAGGATTATTGTCTCTCAAAATTACCTAATGATGTCTATGGCTTACGCCAAGAGTGTTGTGAAGAGGGGATTGGACAATTACTATGCTAAGTACATTCAAACCAGTTCCGTTAAT